GCATCTGTGTAGAAAGGGCCTTTTGTGGCATTCAGAGTCGTAGGCCGTTCACAGATTTCTACTTCTGAATTGGTTTGGCTGACTCATTATTGAGCTGTTTAAATGTGAACCTGCCTTTAGTAGTCTCACTTATTCCAAACAAGCATCTGAAGTTATTTTCTTTAAAATTCAGAGAAAAAGCGTACTGCATTTGTGGAAAAAGATTGTTGGCATTCGTTTCTCATCATCCAAACAAATACCCCCACCAGTGCTACCTTCCACACATACCACATGTTTAGGGGTTGAAGCCCACAGATGAGAGTCCCAAAAAAAAAAATTAAAACAATATTGGAATCAAGGTCTCTATGATTTATGATAGCTGAATTACTAAGCACCTCATTTATAGCTGTAGTGTACTTTTTTTCAGTGAGATTTTTTCAGTGATTTTTCAGAGATGCTTGAAATGTCTGAGATGAGAATCTATAGAGAAAATTGCCAATTAAGGGACAATAATCCATGTAAGCCTAATTATTTATGACACATGGACAGTTTTTGGAGATCCAAGTTCATATTATTGACTTATCAGTACATTTGTTGGCTGTATTTTCTTTCCTTTTATTGACAGTTGCCATCGTTACAGAGGCATGGCTGGTGTCCTAGGAAAACATGAAGCTTTGTAATTACTCTGCATTAGGTGTGTGTGTGTGGGGTGTAGTGTGTGTGTGTGTGTGTTGTGTGTGTGTGTGTGTGTGTGTGTGTGTGTGTGTGTGTGTGTGTGTGTGTGTGTGTGTGTGTGTGTGTGTGTGTGTGTTGTGTGTGTGTGTGTGTGTTGTGTGTGTGTGTGTGTGTGTGTGTGTGTGTGTTGTGTGTAGTGTGTGGTGTGTGTGTGTGGTGTGTGTGTGTGTGTGTGGTGTGTGTGTGTGTGGTGTGTGTGTGTGTGTGTGTGTGGTGTGTGTGGTGTGTGTGTGTGTGTAATGGATCCTGTCATCTGTATCTGGGTAAAAGCTACTTATAATGAGGCACGGTGGTGCAAGAGAATAAAAGAGAGGAAAGATGGAAATCAGAATACCGAATGAGCAAGAAAATAGCTTTTGCAAATATAGTCAAATTGGCACATAAAAGGTGAGAATCATGTTATACTAAATTGTTTAGGGCGAATAGCATGTTAAAAATCAACACAACAATGCCTAATCCATTGATTGACTATGGAAAAACCAATACTGCATACTAGGAAAATAAAATTGATATATTGATCTTGTCTATACAGTATATCGTCCAAAATCCAACAGGAACACTTGATCAACAAAATAGGGATACAATCTTTACAAAAACATCAAGCTAAACCACTCTGGAGACACGAGAAAATACTGAGTATTTGTTGAGTACTAGGGATGGGAATTTTAAAGCAAATGTATATTTGAATATTCAACCCCCAAAAAAACGGTTAACCGATTAAGAATGTGGGAAAAGATTTTACAAAACATTTATTTATTTATTTTTTTAATTAATTAATTAATTTTCAAATAAGTATAGAAACAAAATTGAATTTGTCAAATGTATTGAACTGGTGATCACAGTTTGAACAGTTGACAGCTATAGGCCTACAGCTTTCATGCTTAAAACATAACTTGATTTTTAAATTAAAGAGGGATCATACACGAACAACATAACCGGTTAGGGTAACGTAACCCTTTACAACAGAGATCAACAACCTATAACAGGGCCTATGCACAGAATGCAGCTATTCAATACTCAATTCTTGTTTAAGAATATGTCTACATGCTCAGGGGAGAGGCGGGGTGCGGAGGCGATTCACAATCAGGCCAGCTGTAGAGAAGACCCTCTCAGCTGGAATTTTGGGCCTAAGATGAGGTTTGAGTCTGCGTGATCTGCGTGTAGGGAGGGGCAAAGCAGCCATATCATTGGCTAGAACTTGCTAGATCTGATGGATTTGGACATAAACGCGAGTGAAGTATAACCGGACGCGAGAGAGAGAGAGAGATCAAGCACCTGCAGCTCTGTATCTGTGAAGGGACCCGGTGAGCGGAGCAAAAACACACCTTTAGACTTAACACATTTAGCTATGGCACTGTCGTATACATTGAATTATTCCATTTGATAATATGTAATCAACTTAGGCACCCCTCCCAGAAAAATAAAATAAAATGTATTATTCAATTATAATAAAAATATTCATAATTCAGATTCTCATAGTCGAACACCTGCATAATTTTGATATTCAATTCATCGTTCCCATCCCTATTGTGTGTACCTCTACTGAAGATGAATACAATTAGAAACCCTTAAAACAGTTTTTAAAGCGTTCTGATCACAATAACAACAAACAAGAGTCCTGCTCTTTGTACTCATTTGGTTTAACATCAAGTGACCTGTAAAAAGCTTCTGGTGGACCCTTCCAGAGGGCTGTTCAACTGTATTACATCCAGAAAATGTTGTCTAATAATGTAGAATTAAAAGCTAAAATACAACTCGTGGGTGGATCATCATACTAATGCTTGCAACAGCAACTTAGACTTAAATGTGATGAAAACATGCAACAGATATTGATATCAAATGAGAAATTGTGTAATCTTACATTGTAAACGTAAAAAGAGAAACATTTATATATTTTATAAATGAAAAAATACATTTAGTTATACATGTATATTTTAAAGTTTGAGTTGGAAACTGCACATGAACATTCTAGATAGACATTTTGAAAACCCATATATCTATGTGCAGTTTCCAATGTAATCCTCGTCGTGTGTAACATAAACGTGTCCATTAAAACTGGGTAGAGAGCAGGACCATGTCCACCCCTCCCTTCTGTCTGCATATAGATAACATGTGTCAACCCCACCATCATCAGCTTCATTGCAGGGAGCAGCTGCGTCCAGCATGTGTAACATAACCTCACAGATGGTGTATGTGTAGGTATGGGTGCAGATTTGAGTCATTGAAATAGATTTGCTTTAAGAAATCAAATGTTTTGGTTCTCTGTGCCACTTTTCAAAGCCCTATTTACCTGACTCTCCAAGCCTCCCCTCCTCTTCGCTGCTGATGTTCATTGCTGAGGCTCAGACATTAACATGCGGGCAGCCATCCCGGCCCCTCGGTCCCTGCGGTAAATTGGAAAGCCGTCAGCAATCCGTTGTTTCGATGGAGCAGGGGGCCAGAGAAAGAGAGGCTGTGTGAGATGGGGGGGGGGGGTGCAAGAAAAGCAATAGTGTTGGGGAAGGAAAAAAGACAAACAAGGCTTGAAATAAGGAAAGGGGCGGATAGATGAATGGAGAACGAAGGGTAAAGGGCACATGAGGCTAGAATCAGGTGAATGGAATCTATAAAGGTGACTGATGCTGGGGGGGGGATTGGCAGGAGGCTAAATGAGGTTGATAGGGTGGATAGATGGGGATGAAGGAGATTAAAGATATCTTTCAAGGAAATGTTCTTCTGACTGACATCAAAGATCAGGACATAATAAAGTTGTAATACATAAGCACGCGTTCAAGTAAATTCTACATCAGGTAAACATGAGGAGAACGGCTGGCGGGTGGTGGCGGCTTATATTTGTATTAATTGTGTTTTTCATTTGTTTCAAAAAATGTGCTTGAGAGAAAGCTTGTGACTTCAAAACAGCAGACTGATGCTGAATGTAACCTGCACAGTGGTGGCAAAGTAGTGATGAATGAATACTAGGCGGAGCTCTGCCGCTGCTGTATTAGAATTCACCGCCAGAGAGAGAGGGAAGGAAGGAAAGAGAGAGAGTGGAGATGCAATGCGAAGAAATGTTGAGAGGGATTAGAGGGTGAAATGGAAGCGAGAGAATGAGAGAAAGAAGGAGGGGATTCAAGGCAAAGAGAAAGAGGGAGGAGCAACAATTCAACTAAATGGGCTGGAGCTTTTTGCCCCCCGCCCTACTGCACACACACACACACACACACACACACACACACACACACACACACACACACACACACACCCACACACACACACTCTCACAGCCTGCCTCAGGGAGCCATGGCGCACGCACGCTTGCAGTCAGACAGGCAGCAGGAGATCAATCGTACTCTGGGACCAGAGTGTGTATGTGACTGTTAGCGATGTGTTAGCAACATGCTGGTGGTGGTGGTGGCGGCGGCGTATGCCATGCAAGCGGAGGTGCAATGGTAGCAGGAGTGGGGGGGCTGTCTGTGTATGTGCCTGTGCGCACGGCTAGTATGCACATAGAGCGCTTGTGGTGTGTGAGCGCGAGCAAACCGTCAAAGGGGAGGGCAGCCAAGGAGCGCAGCAGCAGCACGAGCAGCAGCAGCAGTAGCAGCAGCAGCATTGCCAGAGTGTGTGTGAGTTTGTGTGTGAGCGAGCGTGTGTGTGTAGGGTGGAGGGGAGAGGAGAGGCAGACGCGGTGGGACTCCCAGGAGAAGGAGTGGGGTCGGGAGCAGACCCAGCCTCTCTCCTCCACAGCAGGAGGACCAGGACCCAAGGACAAGGCAGCGTCTGTAACCCAGCCTGGAGCAAACTTGAACTGGGGCAACAGGGACATCTCTGCTCTCTGGAGGGGGGTCTTCTTCTGGAGCCCAACTCAGGATGTGTTTGAGTAAAGGGGAGCTTTTAGACGGATGTGACAGACCCACACAGAGAAGGACACTGTGCAGTCCCTCTTATTTAAACATCCACCTCGGTTAGGATGCGGGGGAGAGTGGAGAAGATAGAAGGAGAGGGTAAAAAGGGAGCAAGAAGGATATTGTCTGTGCTATTAAAGAAGGCAGAGAGGGAATAAGAAGAGGAGGAGGGGGGAGAGTGGATGGGAGGAGTGTCCTCTCCGCTCATGAATGTCCCATGGAACACTGACTGTTGACTGTTGATCGGCAGGCGTTGGACTTGTTTATGAACCGGTCCCTGGTCAGCCTAGCAATCGGGGGGTGTCACTAGGTTGCTGTCCCGCTGACAACCATGTCGGTGACCACAGGCTTCAGTTACCAGCTCCCCGGAATCACCACAGTAACATATGTGTTTGTTTACAGCCCTGGCTCAGTGCAGCGAGACCCAAGCCCCCCACATCACACACCCCCCAGCACTGACAGGCCCCCGCGGGCCCAAACGGAAACTCTACAGCGCTGTCCCGGGACGTACCTTCATCGTGGTCAAGCCCTACACGCCACAGGGGGAGGGAGAGATCCAACTCAACCGAGGAGAAAGAGTCAAAGGTAAATTGTCTGCTTTTGTATGTGTACTTGTTTATTTGATCCTTCCCCGATGCTGTAACTACTTCTGTGCACTACAGCTGTTAATATTCTGGACTTCATCACTACTAGGTATGTTTAGGAACTCCTGTAAAGTTCATGGCTACATGTGGCTCCCATGAGCTGGGTTTGTGCAGAACAAAAGAGGAGACATTCCCATGCTCTCATCTGTCTCAGATACAAAGCACACACCATCACTTCAGTATGTTTTGGGCTGTAAAGCATTTGTGATAGCACCTGGAAGTCATTTGAGTGTTGTTTGGGCTTGACATGGGAACAATCATTTCATCCGGCTTAAAAATTTGCTGTTTTCTGCTTTACAAAGAGGTGCAGTGGCTTCGCTTTCATGTGTTTGTGCTTTTGTCTCTCCATCCATGCTCCACTCAAGACTATGACCATAATGACGTAGAAGGTAAAGTCCATAATATTCTTCTCACCCTGTTTCTTTCCCATACACTTGAGTGTGTCAACCCCACACCTACCTAGTGTAGTAATGAGTTCCTGGTCCTGTTTGAATCCACTTGAGATATGTGCACAATCTCAGTGCAAATCTGTGATTACTTCAAGGAGAGCGCATGCAAATTCAAACAGGTCCCGTGTGCGGTTGGTTGTTGGTATGCATACACACATTGTGTCCTTCTTACTCTCTGAGATTACTTCCCCCCTGAACGTCTTACTGCTTTCCTCCCTCCTCTTATCACCTGTCCACAGACACCCAGCTCCACGTTGACCCTACATCCTGCCACTTCACATACATCACCATGGATCAAACCCACATTAGCCTAATGGAAACAGTTCCCTCATGTCCTCAGAAGGCTGGAAGAGAGATAGAGACCTCTCATGTTCCTTTCAGATCTACAGAGGCACAGGAAGTACAGATTAAGGGTCAATTTGGAATTTCAATTTTTTATTATTGTTTTCAACCACAACACATGCACGCAATGTTATCTCTCTCCCTCTTTCTCAGAAACATTCAATAGCAAACAATCCACACACACTGGTCTAAACCCCTTCCCTCTGCCTGAATACAAATTTAAGTACTCAGATGTTTTTTTCTCCCAGCTTTTGTGACCTTAAAAAACGTGTATCAGTGGATCCCCTCCTGTATGCTTTGATGCCTCACCTTTATAGTAGTGTGTCTGTTCTTTGAGAAACAGAGCTGTCATTTCCACAGGACTTACTAACAACAATTCAGATTTAACAATTAAATCTCATGTTTTTTCTGAATGATACAGTATTGTCTGAAACAGTGATGCATACTGATGTTGACACAAATGTTATCGGAAATGTGATGACTCAACAGCAGCCAGTGTGCCTCCATCTCCTGAATGAATCTGCTGTCACTGGCTTTTCTGTCGGTGCAGCTGAATCCATAACCCTGCCACTAATGTGAACACACAGTATTTTGCCGTTCTTTCATGTTGGCCATGCAGGAAACAAGCTTACAGTCGCATGGCTGCCAGCACCATGACCGAGCCAAGTAAACCATCTGGCTGTGATATGCACCACTGACCATCATAGCCATTACTGTGTTGCATTCACTATACTTCCGTAGTCCTAGAATATATGAGAAATACGTCATGGATTTCAACTGCTTGTTGTGTGTGTGTGTGTGTGTGTGTGTGTGTGTGGTGTGTGTGTGTGTGTGTGTGTGTGTGTGTGTGTGTGTGTGTGTGTGTGTGTGTGTGTGTGTGTGTGTGGTGTGTGTGTGTGTGTGTGTGTGTGTTGTGTGTGTGTGTGTGTGTGTGTGTGTGTGTGTGTGTGTGGTGTGTGTGTGTGTGTGTGGTGTGTGTGTGTGTGTGTGTTGTGTGTGTGTGTGTGTGTGTGTCACTCAAACACTGACATCTTGATTCCTGTTAATGTCTTCACACCCTTGTGTATCACTAGCCATACCAGAGGAGTGTGATGAGATCAGACTGGGTAAATCTCACTAAATGTCTGTGTGTGTGATGTGTGTTAGCGTCCATGCTTGCATATGCAAAACCATAACTGTGTATTAACTACCCTGGTAGTATGACAGATTGGAGGTTGAGGCGAGGGAAATTATAAGTCTTACAGAAATAGATGTGTCCCACTGTGTAGTTTAATGAAGACCATTTTTATTCTCATGGAGACATACTTTAGTTGTCAGCAGTAGACTGTAGCACAATCCCTGTCAAGTGTGTTAGTAGCTGTTCCTTTTTGATTTTATATTTTTCTTGAATATTTATGAAATGCACAATATGATGATTTCTTGTCTACTTCTCGTAGTGGCGGATGAATGGCTGGACTCAGATGGTAAATACAATATACTGAAGCGTTATAGCAAAAATCTTCATAGCATTTGATTCATGTCAAAGTAGTTTTAACTCGTAAGACTTGGTTTTGTGATTTTAACTTGGTTCATTAAAGTGAGCTGAAATTAGTAGTATGTACTGTAATGGGTGCTGTAGCAATATAGAGTTATATATTGATGACAAAAGATTTGAAAGAGCAC